GCACCAAACCCTTAGCTGKCTCAAAGTAAATGTCTTTTTTAAGAGATATTAAGGCTCTTAACTATTGTCTTTATATTTCCTCCCCTGCCTTATAACATAGTGAAGGTACATTACCAACAGGGAATGCCTTGTCTCTTGACTGAAGGGACGAGGTGCCTGACTCCCTATCATTTCAAGGGTACAAGGTTTAATCCTTGTATAAATCAGTCCCACCTTCATCTTTAAAAGCCCAAGATCTGCCACCTCGAAAAGGTTTGTTTGAATTTTCCCTTCACATCTAAATCACCTGAAAAAAAAACAACCCATCAATGCATGTGAAGGAAAATGCTTATTTACAGAGTGGTTTTTTTAGATTAGGCAGATCAGAAATTAAAGAGCAGCTTAAACATCAGCTACAAACTCAGCTGATCAGGTACTGCAACCCAGCTGAAGTAAATGCATTTCAATTATAAATTAATACTGAATGCTGCTCTCTGGGAAAAGCAGTTCAAGACAACTGAGAGTGAGCAGGGTTACAACWTTCCAAAATTAGCTTGACATGATCTAATTCAGCTTCAGTGGGAGTTAGACTGGGCCACGTGCCCACAGCTATACGAGTCTAACTGCTGCCTCTCAAAAACAATAGTTAAATGAAAACTGTCTTATTACTACCATAATTAACCTGTCCCAGCCACATACATTAGTAATTACGTTTTTCTAGTGGTAGCTTTCGTCAAAGTTTCCACACAATTCTATGACCACTTCAAGACAGACTTTTAAATACATATTTTATATACATGGCAAGAAGGCTGGCAAAGAAAGGCAAGGATGTTACACTGGAAAGATAAGCCTGTCTATCAGTGTTCCAGAGTAAAGTGGTCTCTTTCTATCCACAACTCAGTGCTCTTATTTAACAGGAGTTTCCCACCCAAATCCTCCAAAAACTGCAGCCACCATTTGCTGTTATGAGATGCAAACCCTATATGATTTTCAACCACATGTACCAATAATTGCTCAACTGTTGCTGCCAGGCWTTTTTTTCCATATATCACCTGTCATACAAAAATATATTCTTAACACGCAGTTGCTGTCACATTAATTTATTTGCAGCACCAGGAAGTAACCTTGAAGAAAAAAAAAAWTAAAAAYTGCCCTTTCATCTTAATGTTATTTTAACATGATTGTTTCATTACAGCAATACATTTATGACCAATGAGGGAGATAATTTAAGTCTTTAGCTACTTAATTTCCATTTAACTGGCCATTATGAATGATTGAGGAACTAATGAATTTGTCTTCAAAAYAGAAGATTTTAGGAATTTAGGCTTCAGAATTTAGGAAGCATTTTGTARTCATAAGAGGCAGATATTTAGCAAGTCTCAAACTACCTCTCTGACAAGGCCAGCAAAGTAAACACATCTCAAAACACTGACCCAGGAAGCCATAGTTGGCCCTTTTTAGATGGGGTTAAGCCAGAGCATGCTAGCCGATGTTAAAATGGGATATTTTTTTGGTCAGTTTTTTGTGAAAATATAAGATGGAAGAACAGTGAATCTATCCATGAGTGATTTATCAGAAGAAGAAGAAAGTCTGTCTTTCCCAAAGGTGCAAGTTTAAGACTGACGGTGAGTGGTTGTTTTTGAACTTCTGCATTTGAGTAGCTCCAAACTCCACAAGCAAATCTTGAGATCAGGAAAAAAATCCCCATTCTCCAACCACTACTTGTCCTGGCATCAGGAAACAGCTATCTTAATCTTTGCATTTTTAATACCTCCAGTCTGGGGGTTCTAGACTATAACCCATCCTACAGCATTTGCAAAATTCTAGCTGGAGGGATTAACAACCAACAGCTCCTCAAATCTGCCTGGATTATCTTTAAGATAGAAGAGATGAATATTATGACTACTCACATGTATGGTTGTTTTAAATTACCAGCTGCACATTAAGAAGCAGTAAGGATTAAATTTAAGGCTTCAAGAACCTGTTTGCCCTCAATCTTATTTTTCATTTTTATTAAAGTTTTGTTATGAGACAGGATGGATTGCATCTATTTATCTTCTAATCAAACATGAATTTTAAAAGAAAAAAAAGAAAAACTCTTCTGTTCTACACAGATACASTTGTGATAAATATGTTTTGACATCCTAAAAACCACATTGACATTATCTTAAATATTACACTCAATTTTTCCAATTGCTATGTTATGACAATGATAATTTAATATATCTAACATGTATTAAGATCTTAACTTACTTTTTAAATCATTTACAATCTAGCTACATCTTTCAACACACCACTGTTAAGTATCATAGATTGTACCAAAAGATTGTGTAAAAGTAATTGTTTTACTTCCTGCACTATTTTTCTGGATTATTTTAGCTCAAGGGCCTAACAGTATTCTGCTGTTTCCACAGATCCTTCATATAGCTGCAAGGAAACATCTTTAGAAGAAAAACTGCCATTTTCCCTAAAAATTAAGCTTTAAATTGATTAGGGTCATCAGCAAAGTCTTCAGGTTCCATTAATTTCTAAACTATAGCTGAATTTCTACTTGTCATTCCAGGAACTGTTTAATTCCATATGATTTGACTGGAAATGAGAAGGAAATAATTTACAAATACTTATTTAACTGTTGACTAAAGTCATCAGGCTTTACATAATTGTACACCAATTTGAAATATTCAGTATTTTAAGTACAATTCTCAAAGGCCACATACCTTACTTTGGGCCATTCAAGAACTATTTATCAAATATATAGATGAAACATAGTGCTCTTACAGTTCACAGGATATAGTGAAATAACCTTCTGCAAAAGATTTCCCATGTGACTGYGACCTGTTCAATTTAATAATCTAAAAGTTATGGTAACACAGATTGCCACAGCCCATGCTGCTAACCTTGCTAATGTCCTTACAGCAATCTGAAGCTATAATAGAAAGGCTAGAAGGGTGCCCAAGAAAGGTACCTAGTAATACAAAACTTCCCAACAATTCTATAAAAACTCAACTTTGTTGAAGCAAGAATTCTGTACTTAATATTGAGGTGCCAAAATATAATCTTGCAGCACCAAAATGGGTTCTGCAAGGAATTGAGAGACCATGAACACTGCACCACTTGGAATGGGGGTCAGTAACATTGCATGGGTCTGCATGCTAGAGTTTCYCTACTTTTTCACCCTTGCAGCTTCCTCGAGTATCCTACACCCCCACAGTGCTACCAGTGTGCTGGGTATATCCAGACAGGAGCAGCCCCATCTCTGTCAGATGCAGCAGTGGTAGAGCTTTACAAATAAAACACTGAAATGGCAAATGAGGCCATCCTTGCTGCTGGAATGGCCCATCTCCATCTCTTAACCCCGTCAAAGCAGACAGACAACTGTGCTCGGGAGCAACCTACTTTGCTTGTGCTTGTGCCTAAAAGCTAGATTTGCCTGTTATGAAAATGGAAGGTGACACAATAACACAAAGCAGTTTGAGTCAGTAGAAATATATGCTACAGCATTCAATTATAGCTGGGTGAATTAAGGACTGTGTTGCAGATTTAATTGCCCCCCCCCCCCACTTTGCAACTCAAGATCTTTCAGTATTAAAAATTTAAAATTATTTGAGAATCTTATTGCTCAACAACTGGATTAATTTGGCTTGCAACTTTTATCCTTGGAAAAGAAAAGTACGAGTCATTTTGCAAGCACCTGGTCTTCCTATTTTGGGGGGACAGAGACAGACAAGGATAATCTTTTTTCTCCTGTTTTCCTCCTAATTTCTCTGTGCAACACTAACTCCAGTCACATTTGGGAAGCCCAATCTAATGACTCTGACCAAAGTCAAGCACAGTCTGTTCTGCAGTGTGCAGTGCTGAGACACTGATTTCCAATGGTGAATATTCACTGGTTCTACAAATAGTACTGCCAACTGAAAGGCACCATGTCTTACCAACTTTTTTTACCCATTCATATTGTAGGCACTTTCCAAGTTAAAGATTGCTGTTTTTTAGCATGCCAAACGCCCATTTTGATCAAACTTCTTCACAAACACCAGCCCCTACAGCCATTTTTGAAAGCACCAGTGACAAAAGTATCTTCACATTGAYGTTAATTCATAAATACTATCATTCCTAAGCACAAACTATTTTTTGCATTCTACATTTGCAAGTGTAGAATTCTACATTTGCAATTAGACATCTTCATTTCAAAAAATACTTCCCACTGATAAAGAACACTTGACATAGAGAACAGTTGTGCTTCCATTTACATACCTAACTTTATTCMACTTCCCTTTCACAATTCCTATTTAGAAAAGGCTATCCAAATGTTTAAATTAGGCAACTAACTCAGCTTCTTTACAGTTTCTTAACTTTTGGATCACAGCATAATACTGTGCCTGCTAGTTATGATCTTGCTTCTGTCCTAGCAGGTTAAGGGGTCTGATCCCTTGATTTGGATCTGTATGTTAGGGTGATTTTATAAYAAATAACAGAAAACTAYATCGCTCAAACTAGTATTCTTTGAACATTATKTCAAAGTTAACCCTTACCAGAGACATGCAGAAGAAAGAAGTCAGATTTCAGAAACTTTTGGAGAGAATCTCACAGTCTGATACAAGACCAGTTCTACCACTCCAAACTACCTGTGATTCATGACTGAACAGGCAGGCCAGGCTCTCCAAAGGTACCGTAGTGTTAATGAAACCACTGCCCTGTTTTCAACAGAAGTCATGAATACTTTGGAATGCTTCCACTGGCTTATGATGTTGGGCATCCAAAATCAAAACACACAAGATTAGAGACCATTTTGGAAAAGATAATCTGCATTCAGCTGTTGCCCATACAATGCTCATTCTTTGTGGAGCGCTGTGGAATACAAGTGTGACCAACTTCATAAGGGAAAGCCCTGATCTGGTTGCCATCTTGATGACATAAAATAGAAAGGTCATAGGTTTCACATTAAACAGTACCACAAAAGAAGGATCTTTCCCTAAAATCTTTACACCATAAAATGCCAGAGACAGAAATATCTGACTCACTGTAAGGTGTTGTATCAGTCGGGTCAGGAGGTGGGAAGTTTTCAGTGAAGTTGACATTACACAAGTCTGTACTACAGCAGCAGAAGCGGTATGTTCCATTCTGAATCAAGGAAGGGGTGGTTGTAACAATACACTCTTCAAAGTGACACTCCTGTGGGTCTCCTATGTGAGACCAGCAACCTGTAAAAAGAGGCAAATTACAGAATTTTTTTTTTTCAAAGTAAGCATAAAATTAGTTCTACTGACTGGATAAACACACCTATAGAAAKCCAAACATTACCTAAATAAACATTACAGAGTGGGGTGAAAACAGTTATCATAATTTGCTTGTCTGACTTTACTACTACCTTKTAAACCAAAACCTACAGAATTTATTTTAGAACTCCCCATGGCCAAGGAGAACAAAACATGGGCAGGGATGAAGGCCAACATGAGAGGTGTCCAGATGTTATCTTAATATGATAAAACCTGAATTCTTGAGCCTTCTAAGTAGAATTATGCCATTCCTTGTTTCTCTGATACCACCGACTGTATCACCACCCCCCAAACCACAGTTTAGATCAATTGTGATCAAGTTCCTTCCTTAGGCCACAAGACTGCATCTACAACTTGGTGCTTCTTGCATAATTTTCAAAATTCTGCCCTTCCTCATTGTCARCATCACCAGACTTCTCTACAGGACCACAACTTATTTCCTGGTTAACACCAGGCCATTTGTCCCTGCAGCAACTGTTCCTTCCCAAGTAGAGTCAWCAGCAGTTAAATGTCATTTATCCTCAAACATGTGGAAGGGAAAGAGGCAGCAATGGGGCAGAGGTGAGCAGTCAGACTGCTCTCTTCAGCAGATTGCCAGATCAAACATGAATCATGAGCTACAACCGCAGTGTAAGGCTGTTTGTAAATACCAGCTGCATTTTCATTCAGCCTTATACAACATTAACTTGCATCCAAGTAAAATAGAGCAGAATCCCTGAGAGCAGTAATTGAAATGTGTCTCCAGCAACTGCAAGGCCTTTCACCCCTCCTTGCCTTCACTGCCCCCACAGAASAGCACTGAATTACAGTACTGACATGTGAGAGTTGTGAACTATAGCTGTGATTTCCTTTGTAAACAAACATCCAATCCATATGAATATACACTTTTTATTTAATAAGACACTTACTGTTAAATTTATCATTACATCAATATACAAACTGAAATTCAAGAAAGCCATCTTCCTGTGGACATCCTAAGTAAAAAGGAATTTAAATGCTTTTTCTTTCAACTGTGCATTGATGTCTTTGGCTCTTTTAGAAGTCATTCATTTCAAACAAACTTTCTGCTCATGTTCAAAACTGCTAAAGGGGAAGTTTAAAATGATGCATTTGTATAATGTGCAAGAAGTCTTGTTTTGCAGCTGTGCAGCTTTGTATCAGCTGGCTAGATCCCCAAAAAAAAGAAATAAGTAGCAAAACTACTGCATTCAAACTGAACTGTACATACCTTGTTTTACAAGATGTATGTCTCCTTCTCGTGTTTTTTCCCAAAGTCCATAGCAGGTACTACCTTTCATGCACAAAATKGTGCCATTCTCCTGGGAGATTCGGCTCTCACTGATTCCATGGTCCTGCTGATACGGGTCTTTAAATGCACACAACCGCTCCTCACTCTGTGTAGCTTTAGCCAAAGAAAGAAAAATAATTTTTGTCAGTGATTCTGTGCATAAAATATTAAYTTAAACAAAAAGATTACTAAAGTCATCTGAAAAGATACATTCAAACCACCCTGAATTAGAGGTATATGTTCTTTAGACTGTGCTCCCACAGTCAGAAATAAAAATTAGGTCTATCCTGAGGTTTCTTTCACACATAAGGCAAAAAACCCGCAGCAGATAGCACAAGATGCACGTGTCAATGAAGTTCAAAGGTGCAGAATAAAAAATTCATTGCATAGTCTGCCATCACCTGCATTGCTTGTCCTTGAGCCTGAGTTAACCGACTGTTTGCTGTTTTCTCCAATGACCTCATGCGATACTTGATCTAAAACCAAGATGATTTTTTTACACACTGCCATTCAAACCAGTGTTTACTAAATTAGGAGGTTTTTTTCACTCTCTGCTRTTGACCTATTTCCTTTTTCTCCATGTTACTCACCCTTTGCACTGATACTTACTGCTTTTTGCTCAGCAGCTGATCAGTATGGGCTCTTTCAMACAACTTCACTAACGACCARCCACAACAATACTMACAACAGAGTAAAGCCCATACAATYGACCAGCAGCTCTGTGAAACACTGCCTGTAAACAGGAGTAATGTAGCATGTAAAGTGTCCCTGTAAAATGTGCAGTAGGAACATCACAAAACGTACAAAAAGATTTCAAAAACAAATACTCCCTAYCACCTGAAAAAAAATTTGTGKKTTTTTTTWAATTAAGACTAAACCAAACCCACCCACAGAAAGTATACTAATTTTTATACAATTATTTCATCAACAAACTCCAAAAATGTAGTAACTTAACTCATATGTTTTAACTGCCTGTCATATTTTCTTTAGGAAAAGTAAAAGCATTCAAACAATAAATTCTTCAGAAAGGCATCAAGTTCAAGATAAATAAATCCAACATTTGCAGTGACTATATTTAGAATATTTTCATTCTTCCTTTACTGATTTTATAAAATGCATGAAAAGCTTGATGTGTAACTACAAGGCACTTAAATATTATTCAGAAGTACAGCTCTGCAAACATCCAATCACAGTAAGAATTTGTACTACATATTTCAACAACTTTCATGGATTTCATCCAGTTCTTTAACTCCCATCAAAGCTTTGGCAGCAAAAAGATGCAAGATGAAGTAGATTGGTCTTTTGGGAAAAGCAGATTTTGAACTTAAAATTAAATTACAGCATATGTAACTGTAAATTATTAAAGGTACTGTATAAAACTATCTCTTCACAGATGATTTATTTATTTGATCATTCTTCAGCACTSGCCCCAAAGAAGCCATGTTTCAGAAAGGCAGACTTACTGCAAAAACACTGTTTCACTGTGTCACCAGAACAAGTGAACGAGTCATAAAAAGAAAAACCAAGAGACTTGGATTAATGCGTCTCACTTTTAAGGCTGTTACTATTCATTAAGGAGTTAAAATTTGTAATTCTTTTACGCTGAGAGAACCATAAATTGCTGCACTCCTCAAGCCAGCATTCTGTCAGTGTTTCCCAGTTGTTGTGGGTTAAGGTTTCTCCTTTTGTTTCCTTTCTTGGGGAATTTTTCTTTCCCATTTTGTTGTTGGGATACACTGATTGCCAGGTCATCCTTTTGATGGCTGGATGATTGGGGAAGACAAAAGAACCTACACCCCACCCAAAGGGTCTCCCTGGACACTTCTCCTGCTTGGAAGTATTTTTTTCCTCTCTTTGGAGAGAGGGAAGTTCTTGCGGGAGTTTTGGGGGTCGGAGAGGATGTATGTGTGTTGGGGGGGGGAGGGGCAGGGGGTAGCTTCACTTCCTGCCTTGCTTGACTCGGGGGAGGACCGTGGACCTGCTGCTGCAGAACCCAGCGTCTCCGGTCATTGGTTCCTGTTTGCTGCACTGTGATCTTCTGCCCCTGTGCCTTGCCAGGGACCCCTGAGATTCCAGCTGCAGTGGTTGAGTTCTGCTGCATCCCATCTGCAGTTGCGGGATTCTGCTCGTCTTTTTGCCCATCTGACCGTTCTGAGGTTTCTTGCTGTCCAGAGGGAGTATCGGGATCATCATTTTCCTCTGTGAGTTTGCAGAGGAACTTTTTCTCCATCCACCTCTGCCGGTTTGTATCCGCCATTGGCCACGCGTGAGATCTGAACCAGCCGGGACCCGCCCACAGCGCCCCCTGCAGCCACCGGGGAATCATCGCACCCGCCCTGCCCGGCCGGGAGCCAACAGCGCCCCTGCTGGCTGGGACTGGAACTGCACCAAAGGGGAGGGTGTGTGTATCTCTGTGTGAGGCTGTCAMTGGGTTTGKGRCTGGGTTGGTTGTTGCTATCGTTGTTGKTACTTGTTTTACCTTGTTATACATATTAGTAAAAACTGTTATTCCCTTTTACCCATATTCTTGCTTGAAAGCCCCTGATTTTCAAAGCTGTAATAATTCGGGAGTCATATCCACCACTCCAAGGGGGGTCCCTGCCTTCATTGGCAAATACCTGTCTTTCAAACTGAGACATCAGTTTACTCTGTGGCAGCAGTAACTAAAATAGCACAACTTAGCTCATTTTTCTATTGGTCTGGTGGGGCGTGTGTGATCAGTTGAGCTGTGTGTTGGCTCAGTGGGGGTAAAATTCTCAGCTGAGGAGACAGGAACTTCTTAAGCCAGTATAATTCAATCACTTACAGCTCCACTCACTCTGAGAACCGGGCTGGCAGTCCACACTGCTCACCCACCTCTTCAAACTCTGGTCAGTTCACTATTAACACTTTACACCTGCAACATCAGTTTTGCAATGATAAATAATTTACTATGAAGCAGTGACTTACTCGATATTCAGAAAGTCAGTTGCTTAAATTTCMTATCCAATTTTTTTTTCTTAAATCTCTGTGAGCCGAGTTAGTCGAGTTACTGAGTGCAAAAAGGTCACATTAACAGCCAGCACATGCTGCCTCCAGCAGAACTTGCCAGTTGCACGCTGTAGTTTTATTCTCAGAACAGCTGAGTATGCCAGGCGTGAAGCATCTGTCCTGCATTCTCTGCTCCATGACACGGCACTGGCCAAGAAACAACGTCTGAAAGGACAGGACCTCTGCCATAAGGGAACTGGCTCTGACTAACCTTTTGAAAATTCCAAGAAGAAAAAACTATTGCAGAACTACAGTTTTCAAACAGAATGGGACAGAAKTATACAGCCTTATTCTGAAATAGGACCTATCTGCTCCAAGGTACAGTAAAAAGGTTTTAAAACCTGTTGCAAATGATAGCTGAGTGGGGCTACAAGCRGCCAAGATCAGGCTGTTTACAAAATGCTCAAATTGCTGCAAGATAAGCCCTTTCATAACTTGCTTTCATTGTGAAAAATTAATTTAAAGTAATAGCATTTATGAAACAGCCACACAAATCTGGTTTCCTTATTAAAAAAAAAAAGTAAATCCAGAGAACTCCTCTTTAATAATACCTCAATACGTTAGAAAAAAACCCAACATTTTAATCTATGAACTAATGGAAGAAGAAAAAAGACCAAAACAAACCAAACCTTTTGGGTTTGCCTTGGACTCAGAAAAAAAATTACATGTATCATGTTTGTGCTCCAGAGACTGCTTTAACTGCTTACATTTCAGGTCTCTTAATCTTTCTATAAAACTCTTAGGATCAAGATTGAGAAGTAAGAATTTGAGAAGATATGTACAAAAAAGAAAAGCTGTTAACTGTCATGCTAGATGCTGTCCAACCATACATGTACTACAGAAAATAAAAGAAACTACAAAATGCTTTTGATTTTAAAAGACTGTTTTGCCCTATAGGAATACTGGCAGAGGGGAGGATGGGACAAGCATGAGAAAGTACAACACACAGAGTGAGCAACCTGAGTGTCTATTTTTATCAGTTCTCTTGCAAAGTAATAAAAATACAAGTTAAYTCAACACAATTTAACATCAGATTATCTCAGTGGAAAGCTTTTCCAACAAAAAATAAAGGTTATTCATCCAACAACTACAGTTTTCATGCTGATCACTGCACATTCCTGCTTCGATTATAACTTGGAGAAGCACAGCCCCTGTGGGAGCAGTACCCACTGCAATACTCTGCTAACCCTTGCCCCTTCCCTGATGGCAYGGAACGTCTGGAGAACAGGGGACATGGAACAAAAGCTACTTCATTTTTCTCTATGGCCTCTGTATGTTCATTGTTGAAGCTGTAATGCCGAAGAAAATTGGGTAGGGCATTCAGATGTACAGGAACCGTCTTGAAATACAGCAGAATAGAGGAGTTGCTTCAGTTACTATGCATGACTTGGGTACATTCCTGCTCCGGGATTTCCTTCTCCCAGGCAGTGGAAACTAAGCAGGTTTAAAAACTTAACACTGGACTACTTCTAGGTCAGGTCTTGAAAGCAGCCTCTCGCCTAGATGAGTATGCTGTATGCCTTACACCTAGCCCAAAAGAAGTTCTACAAAATACTATCACACAAACCTCACAAAAGTGCTAGAGTRCCTCTTTAAAAGTTGATTTCCATAGAAATCTTATTCTTCAAGGTAAAATACCATTGCTCATTCAGATTTACACATGGATGACTTTTTTTTGTCAGCTTTTAGTCATCATGGCAGCCAACAGGTATGCAAGGTGCATTCAGAGCTGAAACTCATCTTCCTGTCCCTTGGGAGCTGTGCACCTGCAATGTTTGAGGGCAGCCACCAACACTCTCRTAGCAGCTTAGCTGGAAACAATACCAGAGCTACTACACCATCCTTGGAGAGAGTTGAAAACCCTGTGGATATGGTCCCAGGCAGCTGGCTCTAGGTCACCCTGCATGAGCAAGCGGGTGGACAAGATGACCTTCAGAGGTCCCTCTCATCCTCAACCATTCTGCAATTCTTACATGTCTCCAAGTACTCAGTGTGCAGCAACCAGACAGAAAAACTTCCTCAGCTAAACTACTTAATCTTTTCTGTCTCTGAGGCAGGCGARATGGTAGGGTAAGACAAGAACT